AGCCACAGCGCCATCAGAGTGGGCAGCAGAGAGTCTGCCATGCTAATTAACAAGGAGACCAGAACAAGCAAAACACAGAAGTGTGGGTTCATGATGACTGTGTACCTTAGGGGATGGCAAATGGCTGCATAGCGGTCATAGGCCATTACTGCAAGGAGAAAACTTTCTAAGAATGCAAAAACTAGGACAAAACCAGCCTGAGTGAAGCAGCCTGTGTAGGTGATCCTCTGCCTCTGTTTTTGAGTGTTCATCAGCATCTTTGGAATTGTGCTTGTGCTGGAACAGATGTCACTAAAAGACAGGTTGGAGAGTAAGAAGTACATGGGGGTGTGCAGGTCGGACTCAGAGCTGACAGCCAGGATGATGAGCAGGTTCCCCAAGATGGTGACCAAGTATATAGATAGGAAGAGGCTGAAGATGAGGGGCTGCAGTTCTGGATCATCTGTCAGACCCAAGAGATTGAATTCTGAGACAGATGTTTGATTTATAACTTCCATGTTGGTGATGATTCTGCTGGAAATTATGGACAAATGCAGAGTATGTGCATGACAAGCGGCAATCATATTTGGAAAGTTGTTATAAAATCATTCTTGTGGTAACTGTGGTCTTTGGAATTGTACCTGTCAAAACTGAGAGATAGTGGATTTCTGTTATTAAACTACCCTGACTATACTCCCTTACTATGGCAGGCCAAACTACTAACTCCCTAAAGGAAGGTCTTTAACAACACCAAAACAAGAATTAAATTAAATGTAAGAATGTTTTAGCAGTGCCATCATATTGGAAATGGTGCACATTTCTGCTCAGAAGGAAATAGGCCCTCTCACCGTAGAGTGTATAAGACCAAAAGACTGAGAACTGAGTGAGTATTGGTTAAAATATATTTGTGAATGTGTAAAAAACATGTGAAAATTGACAAGAAGAGTGAGAATTGAGTATTAGTTAAGCTATATTTGTGAATGTGTAAAAAAGAGATGTTAAATTTGACAGTAAAGGTATAAGTGACTTTTCTGTCCTCATCTTATGCATGTCTTCTTGTGGCTGTTTTCTGGGATGAAATTCTATTAACACAAGTGCCCTCATTTTAAAATTATTAGCTATGGGAATTGTGCTACTTTGCTGACTTCAAGAAAAATAATGTTAACAACTCACCCAGATATTGAAGATGGAAGATCTGTCCTCAGACAGTGCAGACAGACTAAATATATCAAGAGGCTCCTGTTCAGGAATAATTACCTCTGAGTGAAAGAGTAGTTGATTTTTTTGAACCTGACATGGCAGGGCTGTTGAGACAGGTTGTTATATACAGAATGCTTTATATCTCTACGGTCTCAATATCCATAGCTCCTTATTAGATCACCAATTTTTGTATCATTTTGGTCCCAGGATTGCATGCCCTTAGAGACCAGGATGATACAAGTCAGGAATTGGTGATGGCTCATTTTCTAACTCCCAAGTCCAGGTGTATAACATTTGTTTATCTCCACTATTTCTGTTTACCTTTATTTCACAAACCTTGCATACTAAAAGCATGGACATTTTCTAACATATTCCAGCCTTACATTTTATCTATAAACAAAAGTACCTCCATATATTTCATAGCATCAAGAAAATTGATTAAATTTTAAGTATGAAAATATATCCTACTTATGTGAGTGTAAACACAATAAACACTGTTTTCTCATGTCTCAGGAGAGTGCTTGTGTGCATGCTCTGAGGGTTGGAAAATCAAATAGTATGGAAAAATTATATCACTAGTATGGAGTTTTTTATTTAGTGTATATTTCTTAATGATGTTATCTTGCATTTGATTGTATTTTTGTATTTATACACCTCTTTAACTTACTTAGCATAACAAGATCAAACCCAGACTCTGTTGCATTAAAAAAAAAACTTCTACCAGTTTTTTCAGCATCTTCATAGCCAATCATATATTAATAATGCACACTAAAACTTGATTTAACTATTTTATCCTTTTCTCAGTGTCCCATTAAGGCTGGGAATGCTTGAAGCCCTGAGCTCTTTTTCTGTAGGACCATAGCTGAGTGCACACCCTCTTGTACTCTAAGTCACAACTCTCTATCTCAGCCTGAGTCTCCTCCACCATTCACAATGTTGTTGCTTTCATACCCATGAGCTCTGTGGTGGGGTGATGGGGAGATCCATTACTGCCACCAAAAGGTGGAAAGCTGCAGGATATCACAGGTGAACAAAACTGCCTGAATTTTAGAGAAGTAGAGAGTGCCTGCTCAGGCGCTGCTCATGCACTGCACTGCTCTAACTCCTCTCTCCTATGTTTAGCCAGTTAAACACTGCAGATCCCTACCCACCAGCTCTGTGACACTGAGGGCTCCGGGTTCTCACCAACCTTGGCCACGGATAGGGGAATCCTTCATGCATGCACTGAAAAAAGGACAGCGGGTAAGATATAACACAGACACAGAACTCCAAAGTGTTTGGGGAGTGGTGGGCATTGCCTGTGCTGGAACTCCCTTCCTAACTTGTGCTTTACTAGTGTAATCTGCAGCTCTGAGAGGCACAGTTCTTCTGGCTGTCAGCTCTGGGCCCCCAGCTAGTGCTGTACACTTCTTTTACATTTCTCCAGGAGCCTGAGGGTTTCATTCAGTTTCCTTCATCTGAGTGGTACTCTAGTTTTACTTGCATTGATGCCCTAATTTGTGAGACTCTCCCTCACTCTGTTCCCACTCCCCAAGGAGGAGGAGAGTAGGTTGGGAATCTATCCCTGGCCTCTGGCCTCTTCTCTTTCCTTCAGGATGTGAGAACCACTCTCAAGGTGGCATGGTAACTACACCTGGGGTGTAGGGGAAGTTGTGTCTCAAAGGGATTCCTGTTTCCCTTTCTAATACACTTGATGTTGGATTTGATCGAGTAGATTTCTCCTTCATTCTGATTCTTCATGTTTGGGTATGTTTAACTTCCCCACTTTTCAGGACCTGAATTTTCTAGTGGGTCTTCTCTGAGCTTCCCTCATGAATTCCTGATATTAGAAGGCCATGCTAGATCCTCCCATCTGTAGTTCTTTGGAGAAGTGTCTTTTTATTTATTTTTTTCAGCTTTAATTGAGTTTATTGGTACATTTTAGGGATACAGTACAGTTACATTCATTGTTGGGATCTTGTACCTCTACATGACAAGTCTTGATTCTCATTTTTCCCCTTATCTCTGCCCTCCCTTCACCCCCTCCTCCCCTCCCCATCTACAAACACTTTATTTTCATCTTTTCATTCTCTCACATTTTTTTCTTTCCCATTTTTACTCTTCCCCTACCCATCCCACCTTCCCTACACTTTTAGCTCCTTTCTTCCAATTTCTAAATGTCAGTAATCTTATTAGAATCTTATGCATTGTTGCAGATTATTCACACCAGGGAAACTATTCGGTATTTACACATGTGTGACTTATTTATTTCACTTAAGAGTATATCTTCAATATGTATCCATTTTCCTATGAATGAATCTATTTTCTTGTTCTTTATGGCTGAGTAATATTCCATTTTATAGAAAAACCACATGTTCTTTATCCATCTTCCAAAGGATGGGCAAATGGGCTGTTTCCAAGATTTAGCTATTACAAACTGTGCCGCTATAAACATGGGTGCACATACTTCTCTGTGATATGATTCTTTTAGTTCTCTTGGAAAGATACCCAGCAGAGGGATGGCTGGGTCAGATGGAACCTCCAGTCCAAGCTCTTTGAGGTATCTCCGTATTGATTTCGATAGTGACTGCACCAGTCTGCACTCCCACCAACAATGGAGAAGGGTTCCTTTCTCCCCACAACCCCACCAACATTTGTTATTGTGTGATTTCTTGATAGCAGCCATTCTTTGTGGGGTGAGGTGGAATCTCAGTGTTGTTTTCATCTGCATCTCTCACATGACCAGTGATGTGGAACATTTTTTTATATATTTAACTGCTGCTTTTACTTCTTTGTCTGAGAAATGTCTGTTCATTTCGGATGCCCATTTTTGAATCGGGTCTTTATATTTGGGGGGACTGATTGTTTTGAGTTCTTTATATATCCTTGATAATAGTCGTTTGTCTGAGGAACAGCTGGTAAATATTTTTTCCCATATTGTAGATTGTCTCTTAGTTCTGCTGATGGCTTCTTTTGAAATACAGAAGCTCTGTAGTAAGATGAGATCCCTGTTGTTGATTCTATCTGCTAGTTCCCGTGCTACTGAGGATTTGTTCATAAAGTCTTTTCCTATACCAATGTCTTCCAGAGTTCTGCCTAACTTACCTTCCAGCAAGTTTAATGTTTCTGTTTTAATATTTAGATCTTTAATCCATTTGGATTTTAATTTAGTGCATGGCGAAAGATAGGGGTCTACTTTTAATCTGTGGCAGGTTGACATCCAATTTTTCCAAGACCATTTATTAAAGAAGCTATCTTTCCTCCACTGAGGATGGTCAGCTCCTTTGTCAAAGATGAGGTAGCTGAGTACATCTGCATTTGTTTTTGTGTCTTCCAGTCTGTTCCACTGATCCTCAGGCCTATTTCTTTGCCAGTACCATGCTGTTTTTATCACAGTGGCTTTGTAGTATAATTTCAAATTGGGAATTGTTACACCTGGTGCCATGTGTCTGTTGCCTAAAATGGCTTTTGCTATTCTAGGTCTCTTATGGTTCCAAATGAATTTTTGGATTCTTTTTTCTAGTTCTGTGAAATACAGTGTTGGAATTTCAATTGGCACTGCATTGAATGTATATAGCAGTTTTGGTAGTATGGCCATTTTCACTATGTTGATTCTTCCTACCCAGAAGCAGGGGATATCTTTCCATTTTTTTATATCCTCTTCAATTTCTTTTTTCAGAGTGCTGTAGTTTTCAGTGTTGAGATCTTTTTTTTCTTTTGTTAGATTGATTCCTAGATACTTCATTTTTTTGGATGCTATTGTAAAAGGAATTTTTTCCCTTATTTCTCTCCATGTGTCTGTTATTTGTGTATAAGAAGACTACTGATTTTGGGGTGTTCACCTTGTATCCAGATACTCTAGTGAATCTGTCAATTAAGTCTAGAAGTTTTTTTGGTGGAGTTTTTTGGATCTTCAATGTAGAGTATCATATCATGAGCAAAATAATGACAGTTTAACTTCTTCCTTTACTATCTTTATTGCTTTAATTTCTTTCTCTTGTCTAATTGCTGTGGCTAATATTTCCAGAACTATATTGAAGAGGAGTGGTGATAATGGGCATCCTTGTCTTGTTCCTGATTTTAACATGAAGGTTTTCAGTTTTTGGCCATTCAATATGATGTTGACTGATGGTTTTTCATAGATGGCCTTTATTAAATTGAGGTATAGACCATCTATTCCAATTTTTTGCAGGGTTTTTATCATGAATGGGTGTTAAATTTTATCAAATGCTTTTTCTGCATCTATTGAGAGGATCATATGGTTTTTGCAATCATGAATGAAAAAGGCGAAGTCAGAACAGATCCAAAAGAAATCCAGAGGATCATGAACACCTACTTT